ATCCCACAATTCCCATAGTTTAGGGTCCTTAAGGTAATTCAGGATTTAGATCATCAGCCCTCAACCCCGAACCCTAAACCCAATACGCAAAAGCCCGGGAGGCGACGTCAGAATGCATGGACCTTACGACCTCAAGGCCCTCCAGGGTCCTCCACCCTAGGCCTCTTTTGTTGCGGGAGGGGTGGGGGGGCCATGGTCATATGAGTCATAAGCATCCCATCCGACTTGGACCCAAAAAGTATGCAACATAATGGCCTTTTAAAGGTCTTGGGCAATTATTTTACCTACTGTTGGTGGACTGTTGGGGGGTTAGGTACTCTTTAGTGAAGTTTTCGTGCCTCTATTCGGGCCACGTACCTCTCAAACTCCCGAATCCCAACACCACCAAAGACCCAACCGAACAGACCAGGAAAACCCAAAATCCCAAACCCCAGCATAAACCGAACAGGCCAGGCGACTCCTCCGCTTCTGCAACGGCGGCCTCCCACCGGCTGGTCATTTGCTTCGTAGCCTCTGGGCTGAAGATGAACCTAAAGCCTAAACCCTAAACCCTAAACCATAAACCCTGAACCCTAAACCAAAAAGGTAGACTGTTTTGGTTACGGTTCAGGAAAGGCGGAAGGCTTTTTTGGCTTAGGTCTTTGGTTAGTTTTGCGCTTTGCAGGGCTTGATTACAACACAAGGCTTCGGGCTTCGGATTTACGAATAGGGTTTAGGATTTCAACTGAAAATATAGGGTCTAGGAGTGATATAGGGTTGAAAAATTGCACGATTGGGTCTCAAAAAATTGCACGATTGGGTCTCAAACTTAAGGCTTGAGGCCTTCGGGTTTAGGGTTTACACATCGGCTCCATAGTAGTTCCTTTTTGTGGTTGACATTTAGGATCAATAAAGTAATCCCCAAGAGAACTTTGGGTAAAGCTGGGGACTTCGAGATTTGGCTTTAATGCTCTCTTCGGGGTTTGCGACTCACAGCAGGGAGCTCCAAAAACGGGTAACCGGCTCAGCTTACCCACAGGCAGACCCTGAACCCGAACACTGCCCGCTAAACGCTAAGGCGCCCTAAACCCCGCCTAACGCCTGTGTAACGCCAGATAAACTCGAACATCAACGTCGACCGTGAAGCCAAGTGGCATATCGACTTTCAGCCAGGGATTCCTTGGTAGTCAGTCTTACGCTCATTCTGTGGCCTTAAACCCAAGAGCAGCTTTCCTACAAACAGTGTGCCCGACCTGCTCGACCCTTTGAGCTTTCAGGTCAGTCGGAGTTCATGTCGGAAACTCATGCTACCCGCAACTCCTGGCGGCCTTCAAGACCTCTTCGACACCCTACGAAAACTAGTCACATATCCTCAACCACAGCATCCTGATCCGTGCAAACTCTCATAGCTCGCGTGCACCGACATCGGAAGCAACAAACCCTGAGCTCGAAGACGAAGCCTGGAAAGCACAACCCGCAAAACCCCACTGCTTATGTGGGCGGCGTAGGATTTAGGGTGGAGGAGTGCAGCTCATCTGAAGCATATTCTCTGCCCTGTAGACTTGAAGCTTCGAATGCAAGGAAAGATGGCTAGGTATTCGACGACAAGCTTCGAATCCCTCAGATCAGCAAGAGAAAAGCCAGTTCAAAGGCCGAGCAGTCAAGCTGCAACTGGCTCAAGGACCCTTGTCCTTTACCATTACTACTTTCGGGGGTTCCTTATTATAGTTGCCAGGACTAGAGTCTGCCAGGCGCTCACACTCCCAGCTCTTCAGCTCGTACTCATTCTGACGGTAGGAGTCGAGAGCCTCGACTTCTGAGTCTCGGGCAACTCTTCAACCACGAACCTCTTGAATCATGCTCCCATAGTAGAAATATAAATACTAATAATAATGATAGGAATGATCATAGTAATAATAGTAATAATAGTAATAATAACAACAATGGTAATAATAATATATCTAGTATATCTGTCATGAATAAAAGCCCCTAATCCTGGAGCCCTGTAATCCTACACTACCGTATCTCGTCTCTACTGAAGCTTCTTAGTTTCCTAGGGCTTGGGGTCGTTGCTGAGCTCCTTCTTTGTCAACGCCACTCGGGCAAGTCACAGAGCTCATGAGAGCTTTCCATTCGACTCGAGCACTTGACCCGGTTGGCGGCTCGGGGTTTAAAATAGGCTTGAGGGGTTCGGGTGGCAAAACTTTACATGCGGAATCCAAAACCGCCTCCCTCCCCAACCCCACCCTAAAAATCAGTTGGCTCTTCGCCTCAAACCTGGAACCGACCAAAAGCTGGGATCGCGCATTGACTCCTTACACTAGTGTTTGGGGCGTTGGGGTTTCATAATTTGTGGTTTGGCGTTCTGGGTTTACTTCTTACGCTCCCAACCAAGAGTATAGCAACCGAAGGCAATATAGGGGCCTTATAGTAATTAGAAATAGGGTTTGGGCCACATTATACTACAATTATAATAAGGAACCCCCAAACCAGTACGAGTAATTATTTAAGCCCCTAAACTCGTAACCCTAAACCCTAAACCCCTAAACCGCAATAACCCTGCATGCCTAAACCCTAAACCCCTAAATCGTAGTTACCCTGCATCCCTAAACCCTAAACCCCTAAATCGTAGTATCCCTGCATCCCTAAACCCTAAACCCTGAACCCCCAAAATCGTAGCATAGCTATAATAGCTCTGCTCGCAACCCTTATAGCAACCCTTGTAATATAGGGGCACTTAACCCCAAAATCGTAGCATCCCTGCATCACTGTCTCAACTATAGTAGCCCTGTTCGTAACCCTTAACCCCTGTAATATAGGGCACTTAACCCCAAAATCGTAGTATCCCTGCATCACTGCCTCCTGCTCCTGCTCGCCCCTTGCCACCTCCTCTTTCCTCTCGGCAAGGCGGGCCTCGCAGGTAGAGCCGCGTGTTTTCGAGACAGGATTTATAGGGTTTTATAACGGTGTATAGGGTTTAGGATTTAAAGTTTAGGGGTTTAGGATTCAGGGTTTAGGGTTTAGGATCTAGGGTTTTGGGGTTTAGGATTTAGGGTTTAGGATGTAGCATTTAGGGGTTTGGCATTTAGGGTTTAGGATTTAGGGTTTAGGATTTAGTGTTTAGGGTATAACTCGAAGAGGTTGGGCGAGGAGAAGCTTGTAGATTTGCAAAAATTCGAGGACAAGTGCCATCTAATGGGCTGAAGCTTTCACGAACGGCCTTAGGATCCTTGAGGAAGGTTGGTTCAAAGTGGGGAGGGTTGCTAGGATTGCCAGGAATCCGCATAAGGGGATGCTAGAAAGACTTGGGAATTGCCAGGTTCTAGACTCGCTTGAAACTGCCTACCTCAAGATTCTGCAGATTCCCATAAAGCGGCGTTGAGGGGTTGGGGCTCTTGGGTCAGCTGAGATTCGTCCAGATCTGTACGGTATGTAATATAGAGGCCTTAAGAATTTTAGGGTTTAGGGTTTAGGGTTTAGGGTTTAGGGTTTAGGGCTTAAGAATTAAAATAAGGTTTTCGGGCCCATCATGCTATACATATAATAAGGATCCCCCGAACTGTATTGGTAGCTACTTAGTCCCCTACATTAGTGGGTATTGCTTCGCTTAAACCGGAACGCTGGTCGGCAGGACCACAGTCGCAGCTCTGGCTGGTCAGCTTTTAGGGCAGCAGGGGTTTACATTCCGAAGAACCCACATTATGGGTTCTCTACAGGATCAACCAGGGATATGTTAGGGTTCTACAGGGGTGCTACTAGGCTTCAATAACGGCTTGACTAGGGAACAACATCCATTGCGCTTCAGCACCTCTGCTGCGGCAAGCTCTTCCACCAGATCGTCCACCTCAAGCTCGAGGTGTTCAGGGTTTAGGCGCTTCGGGAATGTTTCACGCATGTATGCTGTAGGGTTTAGAGCCTTAGCAAGGAATCCAGGGGTTTAGGAGTCCCACAATACAGCTTAAACCCCTCTCTTCTTAAGCTTTTATACACTTAGCATGACTCCTAAACCCTAAACCCTAAACCCTAAACCCTGAAACAAATCAGGCCTTTTCCAATGTCAAACACTCAGTCCAAGTCGTGGACTTGGGGGTGGCACGATTCAGCTTCCACCCTGCAGTTTTACCTATAGTCTCCATTGTAGTTCCCTTGTTTTGGTTTAACCAATTATAGATTAAGGATTTTATAAGGTATCCCCAAAAAGGAACTACAATGGAGACTATAGGTAGGTTATACATCCCAGACCCCTCTCGAGGATCCCTTCCAAAAGCTGAAAGACTCTGAAAAAGGACCTCGTATGATGTCTAATGTCAGGGCACCTCTTTGGGGGGTTCTTTTTCTCGGATTCGATCATTTAAAGGATCTGGGGCCTTCTAGAAGTACTGAACATCAGGTTCCGACCCCTACTGCGCGGGTATCTGCATACGCGTCTAAATCCGCAATCTGGGGTTGAGAGCAGGGTGCGACCCAGGACAGCATTGAACGCCCTTGAACTCTAAAGCTTGCAGTGCCGAGAACTACACCACAACCCTCGTAATATGGGGGGGCCTTAAGAATTAGAATAGGGTTTTGGAGTATATTATATTGTAATGATAATAAGGAACTCCCACAATAGTATTGGTACATAGTTATTTCGGCTCCGACATTACACCAGAACCTTTGGAAAATGAGCTCATCTTTCTGGCCTCGCTGACCAACTGATCCCGCTCCTGTCCGCAACGAGCCACGTTGCTGACAGGGGTGGCTCGCTGATTGTGTTGCTGCAAGTATACCATGTGGGTAGTTCTCTAAACTGGGGCCGCTTTTGGGATCCTTTTTGTAACAGTGCCGTACTATACCGGGGACCTAAAAAGGGACCCTACTTTAGAAAGCTTGCCATGTAGATCAGGGCGCTTACAGGTTCTATTCGCATCAGCTTGGGCCTTTGTGGATCTTGCTGACTGGAATCGATCGACCTCGTCAATATCCTCCTGCTCCCCCTCCCCCTTCTCACGCAACAGCAGCATCATCATCACCACCACCACCCCCATCATAACCAGCATCATCAACAGCAGGTTCGGCACCACCACAAACTTCCTCCCAAGTGGATCGCCGCCGGCCGATCGTTGCGCATGAGCCTTCGTCGACAAGTTTCCTCTTGGAGGAAAATCCGATGCTAACCCGGCCGCCAGCACACAGTTATGAGTGTGCTTCAGGCTTTTCGGTTTCTGAAGCTTTGTGAACACCCTCATCTAGAACCCTGGCCCTAGACTCTGAAACCCTAAAACCCTGAATACTCAACCCTGAAACCCAAAACCCCTCAACCTTATACACCCTAGAAACCCTGAAACCCTACACTTTCACCCCCCCAAAAAAATCCCAAGCCGTGCCTCAGCAGCCTGAACACAGCGCAGAAGGTGTCGAACCTCCCAGGAACAATGTAGGATTCAGGGTTTAGGGTTGAGAATTCCATCTCTGCGACTTCAACCGGGGACTATGATTTAAGGGCGGATTTGGGGAGCTTGCACTCAACCCTAAACCCTAAACCCTAAACCCAAAGACAACCCTAAACCCCAAAAACACCGGAGTTTGGGCATCTTTGACCAGGGATGCCCACCGCTGCATTCTGCGGAGTCTCGCACCCTCCCTTGCCCACCGGCCCAAGATCCGAACCCTCCAACGCCAAAGACTCACCTAATCCATCAATCCTAAAGCTTATAAGCCCCTAAAAGGAGGGAACACGAGAAAATGTCAAACCCGCCCGAACCTTGAAACCCTCCAAATCCTAAAGCCCCAAGTCAAGATCAAGATCTGAAAACCCCGCAAAATGCTACGCCTTCAGAGGCCTAAAGCCCTGGAAGCCCTAAGCCAAGAGTGACTGCAACGAGCCCTTGACACTCCAAGTAGCCGAAAGCAGGCACGATTTATAAACTCTACACCCCCAAAGTGAGTACTGTTTGTATACTGTAGGGACCTTGAGAATCAAAATAGAGTTTTGAGGGTTCCTTATTAGAACTGTAGTATAATATACCCCAAACCCTGTTCTAATTATTAAGGCCCCTACATTACTTGGAGCCTTAGGGAACGGTGTGCCTGCCACTGCTGCTGCCACGTCAGGGTTGCCAGTTCGACGAGAGGGTCGGAACCTTGCACTCTGAGGGTCTGTTCTGGTTTCACAGGGCTATCATGTAGGGCCCTTTAGGGTTTAGGGTTTAGGGCTTAATGTAGGGGCCTAAATAACTACCAATACCATTCTGGGTGTTCCTTATTATGTGTATATATATATTTATAATATCATGGGCCCGAAAACCCTATTCTAACTATTAAGGCCTCTATATTACAGGCCTTCTAGGGCCAGGGTTTGCAGGGCTCGTAAGCTTTAGAGGCTCTCGTGTTAACTATTCCGGGTTGATGCTTCTGGGCTCTGGGGTTTTAGGACTTGGCTCTTAGGCTTACGGCTTGGGGCTTGGTGCTGTTTTTGCTGAAAAATATGACTTTGGGGCCTTGTGTTGAAGGTTCGGGGGGGTTCGGTCTCGGAATTCGGGCTTCGGGTTTAGGGATAGATTCACGGACCTCTGTGACTGGTGGGAGGGTCGTCTTGCACAAAGCGGCCATCGGGAGCTCGCCGGATTTCAGCTGGCAATCTTGAGGCCCAAACCCCAAGAAGTGAGCTCCACATCCCTCTGGAAACCATGAACCCTAAGCTTATGGGCCACTCATGGGTTTAGGGTTTAGGGTTTAGGGTAGGCCCTAAGCTCCAAACATCCTGAAGAGGAAACCTAAGGCCTAAGGCTCAAGAACTTCCGGTCCGCGAGGCCTGTCGTGGCCGGCGCAGGCATTTCGAAGCCACGCAGGAACGTCAGGGCCTCAGCCGTTTCCAACATAAACTGTCTGGTGCTTAGTAGGGAATGGGGGAATGGGTGGGACTACTAATAGGGATCCGTTCCCCAATTCCCTACTAACCACCAAACAGTAAAGGGTTGAGGGTGGTAGGGTTTTCGGGGGCTCTGCGAGTCCTGGTCGGCGGCTCAAGTGTATGGGTTGTAGGATTTGTGTCGGGAGTTCCAGGTCAATAGGGGTTAGGTTTACCTAAGTTTAGGGCTTCGGGCTAGGCAACAGAGCCCAACAAGAACAAGCTCAGCAGTACTAGCAATGCTGGCATTTCCTTGCAGCTCTTCCCGGTAAATAAAACCCCTGCAGCAAACAACAGCAGAAGCCAAACCTTGACATGCCACGAGCCACCCCCCAACATCCTACACCTTTAGCCTGCGGCTAAAAACACTTGAAGTTAAGACTTTAGGCTGTTATATGATAATCATAGAGGCTTCCAGATTCTAAACTGCAAAACTACTGTACTAAACCCACGTATCTAAGTTTTAAGGTCCCTTCGACCCCTTAGGAGTACGGTTTTTTTGGGGTTTCTGCCCATTTCAACGCCGGGGCGCTTCTTCAACAGGCCCCACCTGCCGGAAGGCGAGGCTTGGGCAGAAAGTTGGGGCTTAGGGGTTTAGGGTTAAGTACTTAGGGAGTACGGGCTTAGGGTGTGGGCTTTAATGTTTAGGGCTTAGGAGTTTAGGGATTTAGGGTTTAGGGTATCGCGCACAACATCCTGGTTCAAAGCACTGAAGAGTTACGTCGCGACAGCCATACACCATGTACCCGTATTGTTGACGGAAACCGCTTTCTATGTCTTTCTGCGATTGTAAACTGTGCAATCCCTACATGCCTGAACTCTAGATCCAACGTTCCGCTCCCCTTAACCCTGGCCCATCCTAAACCCTAAACCCTAAACCCTAAACCCTAAACCCTAAACCCTAAACCCTAAACCCTAAACCCTCAGCTCTTCATCTCCAAACCCCTAAAACCCTTAGCCCTAACTCCCCAAACCCCTCAACTCCCAAACCCCTAACTGCCAGAATCAGAAACCACTAGAAACCCTGTACTTGGAGGGTCGGGAGACTTAGTAAGTAGGTAATAAGTAGACTTATAAGAACCCTGAAAGGGACCCTAATTGAGGTTATAATACTTATAACCCTAATTGGGGTTATAATACTTATAAGTCCATACAATAACCATGTACTAAGTCCCCCGACCCTCCAAGTAACTTCATAAAACACCAAGCCTCTAGGTCTCCATCACTCCAAGTCCGCATGGACAGCAGCAGAGCACCTGGCCAGCTTTAGGGTTTTCTCAAGGGTTTTGGGGTTTAGGGTTTAAGGTTTTAGGGTTTAGGGGTTAGGGGTTAGGGCTCAAGGGTTTAAGGCTTCAGGAACCAAAGGGTTTAGGCTTCAGGGTTTAAGGGGGTTTCGGGGGCTCGAGGTTTTAGGCCAGGGCTTTAGCATTTAGGATTTCAAGCTGTGGGGTCCCAGGAAGCATGGAAGACCTCTTTGGATTTTCGAGCAAGTCACGGAGCTTTGCTGCTCTCGCCAAGGCAAGTGGGTACCTCGGCACAGACGAGCAGTCGCTTTTGGAGCCTTCGTAGACGGTTCGGGCTTTGGGTTTAAACCTGTTTCCACCGTCCCATGGAGTGGAATGTCGCACAACCCCCTGAAGGGACAGCTGATCCATGTCTGGGTGCTGATCTTGAAACGCAGCTTTTTTCGGAAAAAAACAACAGTACTGACATGCAAAGGCAGAAGGCACACACCGGCAGACGCATCCTCCACAATGATTCTGTGCTCCTTGAGGCCTGTGTCCCTGAGGTAACGACATGCAACGACTGTGATCACAGAGCTTTTTGCCGAACTCGGCGCCCTGCGGAACTTGGGCTCGAGGAATCTGATGCAGGATGTATGGTTTAGATATGGGTAGTTGTCAAAATTATGGTCCCTTTTGGGGTACCCTAAATAATAGGTGCCGCATTATAATCAGGACCTAAAAAGGGACCATAATTTTGACAACTACCCATATGTATGGATGCGGTGACAGGCCTCGGAAGCCTTATACAAGTAACGGAGGGACGTTACCCGTTACAGTTTAGGATGATGCCCTAAACCCCGAACCCTAAACCCTAAGCCCTAAACCCCGAACCCTAAACCCTAAGCCCTAAACCCCGAACCCTAAATCCAATCCATTAGAGCTGCTGTCGTCTGGCTTCGGCAGCTGTGATCTGGCGGATGCCTGCGCCGGGCCGTCTAAGCCCCTAAACATCAATCCCTAAAAGGGTTCTTTCAGGCTTCTATGGAGAGTTCTGCAAGGGTCTTTTGGGTGTTCTACAATACTGTTAAAAGTTAAAACCCATACGCCCTAAGCCCTCAACTCCTTGAGATGACCCCGTGGCCCCGGATCCTGTTCTCTCGCTTGGGGCTCAACTCTAAACCAGCCCTGGGAACCTGCCAAGGTCCTAGGTACTATTAGGGTTTAGGGTTTAGGGTTTAGGGTTTAGGGTTTAGGGTTTAGGGTTTAGGGTTTAGGGTTTAGGGTTTGGGGTTTAGAATTCTATTTTACTGGCAATAAGGGCTCCGAATAATGCAAGGTTGCCGCAAGGATACTGTGCATCGGGACCGTATCGTCCTTAACCATGCAACTACCTTGCAGCGCACGCTGCTTCATCTCAACTCAGACATCTGCTTACTCTAGACTTCGAGAACCCAGTGATCCTACATTACGTTCACCTTAGCCTGCGGCGCCTTTCTCAGCTCTGCAGAGGCAAAAACTCCAAACCCATGAAGCAAAGCCATCAGTCTAAACCCTAAACCCTAAACCCTAAACCCTAAACCCTAAACCCTAAACCCAACCCTAGCCATCAGTCTTCAACCAAAGGCAAGCACCAAACCGCTAAACTCCTGTGTCACCTAAACCCAAACCCGGAACCCCAACAAACAATTGAACCTGTAAACCCAAAACCCCCCGGCCCCAAACCCTGAACCGAATGCCCCTAAAGCCCCTCAATCCAAAATCCACTGCACAGGCTCCTCCGAAGCCAGACTTCCAAAGCTTCGCAGGGTGGCAGCACGGGACGCCAACCTGTAGTTTAGGGTTCAGGTTTGGAGTTTAGGGGCTTTTTTAAGGGCAATAGCCCCCTTTCTCCCGCAAGAAGTCGGAAGACTCGCTCCGTGGAGAGTGGAATAATGCCGAGCAAATTGCTCAAGACATCTTAATCAACAACCTCCGGCTCAGAATCACGTAGTTTAGGGGTTTAGGGCCTTGAGTTTAGGGCTTTAGGGTTACAGGGTTAAGGGTTCGGTTAGGTTCTTCCTTTTAATCGAACCCCTTTTTCCGTTAGCATCACCGGCCTGCTGGTCAATTGACCAGGAGAGGGGAGGCAAACCCTGTATGTCTCCGGGGTTTCGGGTTTAGGACTCATACTCGCAATAGGGCTTCTATGGTCTATTGTACGCGTGTGATCTAGGGATTGTCGAGGAAAAGCACTACTGAGTACTCGGACCCCCAAACCCCTGTGTGTAGTGCGTGGCTGTCTTACGAACTTCATCCGCATTGGGGACCTCCTAGCTTTCGACATGCAGGATTCGACTTGCGTGGCTTCGGATTTCGGAAAAGGCCTTGAACTAGTTCAGAAAACCTTAAACCACCGATTGATCTATCTAGTGGCCCAAAACATTCTTAAACTCCTACATACTTACGGGCTACTGGCTTATGGGGGCTATGTGTTTACCGACTTTAATCGGGGCTCCTGCGCCATACGTCGTCCTACATCGAGATTACAGACGAACTTTGGTGCTGGGCCCTTGCATGGGGGAGGGTGTGCTCTATAGGTTTTTTGGTCTCAAGGACTTTACTCTAAACGCTGCAAGCCCTTCTATAAACCCTGTGAGGCCTTAATATATACACTCACAGGGCCCTAAATCCTGAAGCCGGAAACCATGCCCAGAAGGTTGAACCCTCTACAATGCATCCAAAGCTGCGGATCCAAGGCTGGCTGTCGACTCCTTCGGATATGGGTGCACAAGTGTACCGAGCCTTGGGATTTGTTTTAAATATGCTGCTGAAGCTATCGTAGGCTGCTTCTGTCGGTGACTTAGGGCTCATAGTTTCCACCAGCTGCTTCAATCGAGCGTAGCAGTGTAGCATTCGCATCATCCCGGATACCTAATTCAAAATGTAAGAACGGCCCCCAGAACCTGCGCAGCCCGCTCGTACATGGAGGAGAGCTGCCAAAGGTCCTCGGAAGGGTGCGGCTTGACCCACGGCTTCCCTCAGCCCTAAAGCCCTGAATGCTCTGTCAATCAAGCAAGAGACCAAGTCAAAGCTTCGAAGTTGAGAGCCGCAAGCGAAATTTTATAGGGGCCTTCATGAAAATGAAGAGCTTTTGTTGAAGGGGGGTGGCTGTTTCAGCGTTGCAGTATACACCCTATAAGCTCAAAATACTGAGACCCTAAACCCTGAACGCCAAACCTAAACAAACTCTTGCAGGCCCTCTATTACACCGTTCAAGGTCCCCCCCTATAACAATCTGAACCCTGAAGCACCAGATCCCAATCGGGTTTAGGGTTTTAGCGTTTGGGTCTTTAGGCTTCTAGGGTTTAGGGCTT